GAATTAGCTGCTTATCCTAACCTCACTCCCCAGTTATAATAAAATAAATTTCAGACCAAATTCTGCCACATATACAGACATTTATTGAACAAGCATATCTTAGCAAGGAGGCACAAAGAGATTACACAACGTCTTCTGTCAGCTCAGTGAACTCCCAGCGGTTTGTCGTTCTGGGAGTTCCAGCACCACTGGGCACGAAAGGCTCACCAGAGGAAGCATGGGCATCATTCCAGCACAGGGATCTGGTTACCGTATTGTTATAGTTGGGCAACCAGAAGTCATTCTAATCCATAGGTGGACCCAAGACCATTTAGGACTCTAACAAGACATTGTCTTCATGAATGAAACTCATTGTGCTTAAGAGGCTAATTATCTAGGCATCAGATATTGACAGTTTCAGCTCACTGAAGGGAATATAGTAGCCCCTCAGCAGTGAGCCCCCAGTAATAAAGTGCTAACTGAACCGCCTTCAGTCTGTGCATTTTTTATTAGGGGAACTTACTGCCCCTATAATTGAAGCTCGCACTAACCTGCACATTCATACTATTTACATGGTCCATGCCAAAGTGTTTTAATGCAAAAGTGTTCAAATGTTAAGACCCAGAGCAATTGCTGCTCAATAAATCACACGTTCATCCAGTCAACAGATTTTGATTTAACACCTACCACATGTCAGACACTGCGCTAGACACCAGGGTCATAAAGTTAAATATGATTCTTATCTTCAAGGAGCTTACAATCGCGTGGGAGAAACATAAGCAAAGTAATCAATATAATATAAAGTGATAAGTGAATTAAGAGCATACTCAGGGTGCCAGTGGGATCCTGAAGAAGGGCAATTACATCAGACTCGAGAGTTTGTCTGATTTAGCTTTCTAGAAGAGATGGTTCTTAAGGTAGTATTAGAAAACCATCATGAATTAATTTAGATGCACTAAGTAGAGGAAATAATTTTAGACAAAAGTAGCAGAGCAGCTCTGAAGGCACAGAGGTTTGAAACCTCACAATCTATTTTATAAACGGTAAGTAGTTCAGAATGGCTGGAGGAACACGGAGAGTGAGTGGAAGGAGATGAGCTTAGGGAGACCAGACCATTGAGGTTTATGTGTTAAGGTAAGGAGTTTGAACTTTTCTGAGATATGGAATACCATGAAAGAATTTTAATCATGGAAGTAATGTACATTTTAGAAAGATCATTCCAACAGCTATGTGTAGGACGAGTTGAAGCAGGATTGGGGAGGAGGCAGAGTTGATAAGGGGGTAATACACATGACAATTGATAAGAGTTTGGGCAAAGGCATAAGCACAGTGAGAGCATACAGTGAGCATAGTGAGCACAAGAATAGTGAAAGGGACCGACTCGAAAGTAAGACACCAAAGGACTTGAGACAGAGTGGATAAACAGAGTGTGAGAAAAATCTAGAATGTCTCAGAGCCTTGGGCAATTGTATGGATAGTGCTACATAATAAGTATAAATGACTGACTGAATGAATGAAGTAACAATCAAATGAACAGTGGCTCCAATATGGGGCATTTATTCTTTCTTTTTTTTTTTTAAAGATTTTATTTATTTATTTTCCCCCTCAAAGCCCCAGTAGACAGCTGTACGCCACAGCTGCACATCCTTCCAGTTGCTGTACGCGGACGCGGCCTCAGCATGGCCCGAGAAGCAGCGCGTCAGTGCACGCCCGGGATCCGAACCCGGGCCGCCAGCAGCGGAGCGCGCGCACTCAACCGCCAAGCCACGGGGCCGGCCCATTTATTCTTTCTTATATGAAAACATTGATAGATAAGTTTTCATTAAAAGTTCCTATAACCATAAAATAAAAATGGAAGCCTATGACAGGAGCTTCTTCTCATTGTCAGATACTGACACATCCCCGTCAACCCACTGGATTCTCTTTGCTCTCCTCTTACTTGGCTTGTGTTCCATAGGCTCAGTTCCTTCCACCTCTTCAAGCACTTTCAATATACATGTTTGTCCTTGCTCATCAACCCAGGAGTGATTTCAGTTTATCACAGTACATACCTTATTTATGCAAGCACTATAAAACTATAACCTCACAAATGTATGTTAATAATCTGCAGTAAGCATAGCTTATTGTATATAATTCTCTCCTGAAGAAACTGAAAACAACTTAGACTGAATGGAAATCCAAAGTAATTAATAAAATGTGTTTTATAGCTGTATTGAATTATAAATTATTCTAAGTGACTCCTTATGTGCAGAGTCACTGGTCCATTAAGCACATATGTTCACCTACAACAACATTTAAAACAGGAACATACACTTTTGTCCATACAACACTCTAGTTGCTCCATCATACAAATGTGTATTCTTTCCTAATTAAAATATAGCTAAAAATTCCTAAATACTATCCCTTGTTTTCTAATAAAATCACAAAATCAATATATAGAATTCAATGAACAGTATAGTTATCTGGGAAAGCAATTCTATACAACAAAAGATTACCTTCCTTTCAAAGATCTGGAGAATAATGAAATACCCAACTATAAAATTCATGTAACATCATTACAACATATAATTTAATATTTTAGAGTTAATCAAGAGATATTTTAGAATCTCAAAGACCTAAGAATAGAATTTTCATTGGCAAAAAAAAAAAAACCCAAAAAAAGGGGGCCGGCCCCGTGGCTTAGTGGTTAAGTGTGCGCGCTCCGCTACTGGTGGCCCGGGTTCAGATCCCGGGCGCGCACCGACGCACCGCTTCTCCGGCCATGCTGAGGCTGCGTCCCACATACAGCAACTAGAAGGATGTGCAGC